CTTATAAAAGTGGTACCAATATTTATTGTTTGGTTATGTAAAAGGCTTTAGAAAATTGTAGTTATTTGTTAACGATATATTAATTATACATAATCATATGTTAAGTTGTTAACTATTATTTTTTATATTATTAATTTTTTAGTTATTTGTTAACCATTTATTAATTATGCTATGTAGTGTAAACCAAAATGAAAAAACAATATAACACTTGACGGATTTTTAAAAAGAAAACATGAAAGTTCTTCTCAAGTACCAGTAGAGCCACCCCCAACTGTTATAGATGCAAATACTCCTAATGATAGTGTTCCTGTGACCGAGAATCCATCCAAAAAACCTTGTCATGAAATGAATGATGTTGATCTTAATACACTAGAACGAGATCCTAGTTTGCGTATTCAAATTTATGATTATCATGTCAATCAACGAGACACAATTCGACGAGCTTATATCAATCGTGGTCCCTTTCAACCAATACTTTCTGCATATCCAAAATCTGGACCGTAAGACCATAAACGTAGCTTTCAATGTTCTTGGTTCAAGCAATTCCCATGGCTTGAATATTCACAGAGTTCAGATGCTGTGTTTTGTTTTCCATGTTTCCTTTTTAATAAAACCTTCCGGAATGGGATACTACAGGCAACAGGCATTTACTATAGATGGATTTCAAAATTGGAAGAAAGTAGGTGGGAAAAAATGTGCTTTTTTGCAACATATAGGAACAGAGTGTACATCTTTTCACAATGTTGCACAAAAATCATATGATGATTTGTTAAATGAGACTCAAGATATACGAAATACGATTGAGAAATTTACAGATGAAGATCGTAAGAAGAATAAATTGAGATTGAAGACTATTATTTATGCAGTTCGTTGGTGTGCCTTTCAAGCAATTGCATTTAGAGGTCATAAAGAAAGACCAGATTCCATTAACAAAGGAAATTTCCTTGAAATGTTGGAGGCAATATGTTCTTTTAACAATGAGATGAAAGAATTGTTTCGCACTGCGCCTAAACATGCATCATATACATCACCAACAATTCAAAAAGAGATTTTAAACCTTATCGCTAATAGGGTGAGACGGATGATTTGTGATGAGATTGATGGTGGAAAATTTCGTTTACTTGTTGATGAAGCACGTGACGAGTCTAACAGAGAACAAATGTCTATTGTTTTGAGATTCGTAAATAAAGATGGCGTTATTATGGAACGTTTCTTTGGACTTGTTCATGTTCCTGACACTACATCACAAACTCTGAAGAATAGAATATATTTCCTATTGACACATAACAATCTTGATTTTAAGTCGATTCGTGGTCAAGGGTATGATGGTGCAAGCAATATGCGAGGTCATTTCAAAGGGTTGCAAGCATTGATTTCGAAGGATTGTCCGTCTGCATATTATGTTCATTGCTTTGCTCATCGATTGCAATTAGCATTAATGGCTGCTTCACAAGGAGTTATTGCGTTGCAAAAGTTTTTTACTCAATTATCTTTTGTTATCAATGTCGTTGGTGCTTCTTCCAAACGTGCTGACCAACTAAGAGACGCACAAGCAGAGCAAATGGCATATTTTAAATCTATTGGTGAGTTGGAGACTGGTAGAGGCCTCAATCATATTGGTACATTACAACGGGCTGGAGATACCAGATGGGGTTCTCATTTGAAATCAGTTTCAAGCTTAATCAAAATGTTTACTCCAATTTGTGAGGTTTTACTTAAAATTATTGAGGATGGCACTGCTTCGATCAAAGGAGATGCAGATTCAGCATATGAGACTATTACAACATTTGATTTCATTTTTGTTCTACATCTAGAGAAAGAAATAATGAAGATCACATATTTACTCTGCCAGGCTTTACAAAAACAATCTCAAGATATATTGAATGCATTGAGGCTAGTTGCATCCACCAAATTGTTATTACAAAAAATGAAAGATGAAAGATGGGATAGTTTTCTATCTCATGTTAAGTCATTTTGTCTGGAACGCAACATCGATATCCCTAATTTGTCTTCTTCTTACTTTAGTAGAGGCGCTCGAGCTCATAATGAGCGTAGCGATCATACACTTGAACATCATTATCGAGTGGATATTTTCATCGAAGCAATTAACTATCAGTTAATGGAATTAGATCATAGGTTCAATGATAGCTCGATGGAATTACTCCATCTTTCATCAACTTTAGATCCTAAAAATTCTAATGAGCCTTTTCGAAGTGGTGATATATGTCAATTAGTAGAAAAGTTTTATCCTGAAGATTTCAATGAAACTGAGAAAAATCTTTTGAAGATGCAACTCCAACATTACGAGGCGGATGTTATTCAACGTGATGATTATAAGCAATTGATATATATTTCAGAATTATGTCAATGGTTGAAAAAGACTAGAAGAGCAACTACTTTTTATTTGATTTATCGAGTAGTTAGTCTTATACTCACTCTTCCGGTTTCCACTGCTACAACAGAGAGATCATTTTCAGCAATGAGTCTTGTTAAAACAAAGCTGCGAAATAAAATGGAAGATGAATTTTTAAACGACTCGTTGGTTTTGTACTTCGAAAGGGATCTTGCAGAAAAGATTACTTTAAAAACGATTGTGCAAGACTTTAAAGACGCAAAAGATCGACGAATTCCACTTTAATGAGCGATGTTAGAATACTTTATATTAATTTTTTGTTTGATTATTTATATGTTATGACATTGAATAGAATAATTTTTTGTTTTCTATTTCTTTAAAAGATTTACTTTCGGCCCCCCACTACAACTTTCCGTGTTCCGCCCCTGCTCATACGAGACAAAGCTAGAGATGATACGAGGTGTGCAAGAAGCTTCGAATCGACATCATGAAGAACAAAACAGGAAAAAACACCACGATTTGATTAATGCACTTTTACATATGATTCCTAATGTTAATCTTGCCAACTTCCAATCATTTGAGTCAACAGCGGCTCCTTAATTCAACTACAATGTTGGCCACGACAAATCAAGTATCACCACAACAATCTGGAATTATTGGCTAAATTGGATGAAGATATATTTTTTTTGTTTTATTGTAATCTAGAATTATGGGTTTGTATTATTTGATTTATGGGGAATTTATGAAATCATCATATTCTTTTGCAAAATATTTTTATGATTTTTAGCGATCAATCTTTCTTAAATTATTAACTAGGTGTAAGACTCATATATTACATGAGTTAATTAAAAAAAATTAAATATAAATGTCTAAATATTTAAGAACTTTGGATTTATAAGAAAAATAAGAAAAATAATGAACTTTTAAATTTTTTTTTTTAAATTTAAATAAATAAGCAAAATAAACTAATAAGCTTTAATTTGGTTATTTTGATCAAATAAGAAGGTAAGTCCATTAATGAAATTGATATTCATTTATTACTATATTTATTGTATTTATTACATTAAAGTATTATGTGGAATTTATTAAAATAAAAAAACCCATAAAATGACATGTGGAAAAGAAATTCATTCAAAATAATCACAAAATGACATTTGGCAAATTGAATGAGAGTGTGACATATGGTAAAAAAAAATTCATTTATTAGAGTAAATTCCTAGTAGAGATAACTTTTGTATCTAAAAAGATTTAATTATTTATATAATTTATTATCTTTAGAGGAAGTTGTCCCCTCTAAAACTAATTAAATACTATATTACTTTTAAGGGAAAATGACTTATAAGCCCAACGAAGTTTTCAAACCGTTCAAAAAACTTCAATTATGTTTTGTCTGTTCAAGAAAACTCAACGAATTAACCTTTTGTCTAAAAAAGCCCAACTAACTTACACTTCTCATTTAGGGTCAACCAGCTAATGAAAGTCAACGAACGGTGACTTATGACTTGTAATTAAATATCGAGAAAGCGACTTATAAGACCAACGAAGTTTCGAAACCGTTCAAAAAACCCCAATCATGTTTTGTTTGTTAAAAAAAAACCAACGAAGTTACGCTTTTGTTTAATTCTCATTAGAGGCAACCAAATTCATTAGGTATAAAATTTAGTTGGCAAATGACATGACATTATATGTAATGACATGGAATAAATAGATTAGAATTGCCCTTTATATGTCAATTTAGGACTTGGATAAGAGAAAAATGAGCGGCGTCTGTCTTCGATCTCTTGTAATAGCTACTTCTTATTCTTCCTCTCAATCGTTGATGTCCAACTCAAGATCTACAAAGAAGATATTTGATGATGAAAACCCTTGTGGATGTGGACACCCTTCTTGGATTTGGACATCTAGAACAGATGATCATCCATAGAAAAAAGTTCAGGGCTTGTTCGAACAGATGGGCAATTCTAATATGTTTATTCCATGTCATTATATATAATGTCATGTCATTTGCCAAGTAGTTATATACCTAATGAATCTGGTTGTTTCTAATGAGAAATGAACAAAAGCGTAAGTTCGTTGGGTTTTTTTCAACAAACAAAATATGATTGGGGTTTTTTGAACGGTTTTGAAACTTCGTTGGTCTTACAAGCCATTTTCCGATATTTAATTACACGTCATAAGCCATGTCATTCGTTGACTTTCATTAGCCGGTTGACCCTAAATGAGAAGTGTAAGTTAGTTGGGTTTTTGTAGACAAAAGGTTAATTCGTTGGGTTCTATTGAACATACAAAACATAATTGGAGTTTTTTTTAATGATTTGGAAACTTCGTTAAGCTTATAAGTCATTTTCCCTACTTTTAGAGATGAATTTGAGGCATACGAGCATGAAAAAACATAGGAACTTAATTCTTATTATTTAAATAAAAAAACAATAAAAATAAATGTAAAAAATAATAAGAAAGGGTATAATAGTATAACAAAAGAATACTATAGGGAGAATAAGAATCCAAATTTTGACCAAACCATAAGAACTAAAGAACGATTGATTTCAGTAATTACTCTTTTATTAATAAACAAAAACTCAATGTATTCTGACACATTACATATGAGACAGAACTTACAAAGAGTTGAAACAAACTAATAGATATACTACATATACTACATGGTATCTTTTTTAAGAAAATAAATCTCAAATGTGAGTAATTTATAGCGTGACAGATTCAAACTCAATACTTCCTTCTAGTAGTATTTAACCATTTGAACAAAATCCTTAAAAAGATATTACCCGTTGACATTCCTACAAGTCTTTCTGATTTCTCCTCTGAATCCTGTCAAGGGACTAATGTTTCCCATCTTAACCATTGACTTCGCAAACTGCATGAAAAACATGTCTTCATCTGCAGCATACTCCTTCACAAGCTTCATAGTCTCTTGGTTTTCTGTAAACAATATCTGATCAGAGCTCAACACCCCTTTTGAATCCATCAAATTCTTGTAGTAGCCATTGTCAAACTTTGTTGGGGTCACATTATCCAGAAAAAACAGGTTCTCATCACCACCCGATTGAGGACAGTTTGCACGCAGTTGAGCAGCAAACAATTGGTCGTTCTGCTCCTTATTGCTATACAGCCTTTGCTTGAAGCTGCCACACCTCGCTTTTCCAATTGTGTGACTCCCTGAAATTAAACAAAGAGTTAGCCATTTTCTTGAACTATACCCTAAATTTTCTTGAAAACATTGAAAAGTACCCGAAAGTGCTACAAGATCGATAATGTCAAGACCCTTGAGCTTGAATTTGGTGAGAATGGTTTGGAAAGTGTTGTTTGGAGCTGGAATATTGTGGTTAGACCCACGCAAACTTGCACCCAATGAGTCCCTTCTTCCCGCAGGAACTTCCCAGCTGGGTCCACCACTCTGTACAAGATAAACGTTTATGGCCCTAATTTTTTTTTATCAACAATAACTAGGTATATATAGTAATATAGATGATATTTACATTTTTTTTATAGAAAACGACATCGTTCAAATGAAGGATGCCAAAGTTGTAGAAAGTTATGGGAAATTCTTATTTTTCAATATATCTTAGTTATGATTTTTTTTTCCGGTAAGTATAAAGTTAAAAAGAAATATTCATAGGGTAGGTACCAGAACGGTAGAGTCTTTGGCTGCCAGAAAGTTAAAAAGAAATATTCATAGGGTAGGTACCAGAACGGTAGAGTCTTTGGCTGCCAGAGCCAAGATATCTGCACAGGAGACGGTCTGTGGACAGACCGCCTCCAGTGCAGCTTTGATCTCATCGATGATTTCAAATCCACGAACCGAGTTGCGGTTGGGGGCGGACCCTTTCTCGCTGATTATGTTGCGGCTACCACCATCGTCTAATAATATTGATGCATCACAACCCTACATATGATCATCATCAACAACATTAACATTCTAAAATGTCATGTGTAATTTTAACATGAAAAAATGAATATATATCAAATGAGATAACGTTTTAAGAGGTTAAGTGACATATCCCCTACTCTACTCCTAAATCTACACATTTTGTCAACCCTCGTTCAGAGTGGCACCAATCCAACAACATAGACTGAGGGGCACTAACCCAACAACATATGATACTGCTTATAATTCACAAACCTTAACGAAGCAATCATGGAAATGAAGCCTAAGTAAAGAAGCAGCCATGAGAGCATCTTGTGCAACTGCTTGTGCTACTATGGAACGAACTATATTGGTGGCTTGTGGGCATGATTGATCATAGAACTGTGGGTAGAGGTAACCTCCATTGGTGATCTTAGAGAAGCAAATGGGAGTTAGAGCCATGAAGAAACACATGGCCATGGCCATGTTTGATGAGAGAGCCATTTTTCTGATTCTAGTGGAAGTATGCTTGGTGGAGGTCTTGGTTTGGCTTGTGATGGATGTAGTATCCTGGCTATATATATCAGTTATTATACACAATGGTGGGGTTGGGTGGTTAAGAAAAAGGATCGAGGAAAATCTAAACACTTGATAAAAAAAATCTCATATTTTAGTAGTTAATATAAGAAAAAGAAAGTATTGGTTGAAGAAATGGATACTTGGTTGATATGGACCCGGTGAAAATGTGTTGTACAAGACAGTCATACTAAAGCTCAAAAGTAAAAGTCATTTTATTCACTTTTGGAATCATATTCTAAAGGGATATATAATGTAGATAAACATGATTGCAAAAATGTGGAAATGTGTTTATAATTTTAGATTGATTTAATAGTTAAAAGTGGGATGTATAACCTACTACTACGTAGTAGCTATCAGATAATTTTAAGGCGCGTTTTGTCAATTAACATGGAGTGGCTGAATCCTAAGCGAAGCTTGTATTGTTGTGGAATTAGGTCAACTATTACACAAATGTTTCTTCAATCATCAGCTTTTTCCAAAAATGCTATCATGATTTGCACAACATGCATTGTAATGTGTACATTTAAAACTTTTGGACTTTTGGTTGCAAAGAAAACATAGACTGTGACAGCGTGTGTTGTCATTTGTGATTCGACTTTATGTTTTTGTATTAGATTCCACCATGTGATTCATGGCACCTTCAGATTGCTTCAATATGAGTTGGTACATAGGCATCAACCCTCTTGTTCCCTTATGCGTTTTGGTAATTTTTTGTTAGATGTGATTTTTTTTAACAGCCATATTATTAGAGACCACAAGGCTAGCAAATAACTAGCCAAGAAAAAATTACAGGGTAATCATTTAGCCATCAATCGTAACTTTGTATTTGGAATTACAACTATTGTAGCAAAGAAAAAAAAAACAAATAATAATACTATCAACGATCTCACATTTCCACATCTTTCCCGACTCAAAAATAACGTCAATTATGTATTTCCAAAGCATCCAACACGTCGTAATACCCACCACTTCAAGTCTTTCCGATCTCCAAGTTTATCAGATTGATCCAAAAAAGAGACCTCATGTAACGCGGCTAAAAGCTCTTGCAATTGAACTTCTTCAATACCACCCCTAATATGTCTTCTCCACTGCCAATGCCACAAACCATTCACCAATCTATCAGCTACTCGTCATTTATCATCAATCTCTGGTTGAAAGAGACGACAAAAACGATCCTGTAACGGTTGATTACCTTACCACGAATCAAGCCAAAACCTAGCCTTATCACCCCTACGGACAAAATAGACACGACAGAGTATGGGACAATATTGCGGTCGTGAAGATCAAGCATAACCCCAACAATCTTAGCCCACGCGCCAAACCCGTTACACTGAGACTCCCTCTCCAAAAATCCACCATGATCCCCATGAAGCGCCTTAACGACCCAAACCCACAAAGCATTGTAATTGTTAAGAAAGCGCTAGCGCCACTTCTGGAGGAAGGCCTAGTTAAACGCCGCCAAGCTTCCCACCCCTAACCCACCTTTATGAGCATCTGCCAAAACCATCTCCCATTTGACCTAGGCTAGCTTTCGATCACCATCACTAGGGGTGTTCACGGTCTGATTTTTTCGGTTGTTAGGTCAAACCGAAACCAAACCGTTACTAACGGTTTTTGTCAAGCAAAAACCGAAGCCGAACCGTTACAATTGGGCTGTAATAATTAAATATTGTGGGTTTTAAAGTTTATTATTTGTACATAAAAATTAATATATAATACAATAAAATACAATTACATATAAAAAAATTAATTAATATATATATAAATCCTACGGTCCGGTCCGGTTTTTATACGGTTTGAAATCCTAAAAACCGTAAGCCAAACCGTTCAATACGGTTTGAAAAGTTCGAAACCGCAAGCTAAACCGTAAAGAAAAATACAAACCGTAAAACCAAACCGATGACCGGTTTGGCCGGTTTGATCACGGTTTCAAACCGAATCACAAACACTCCTGACCATCACATCCACCCCCAAAAAAATAGTTGTCAACTGCTCCAAAATTTTAATAACGCTTATGGGGCCTTAAAAAGGGATATAAAGTAAATTCCTAAACTCCCGAGCACCGACTTAATTAAAGTCAAACGCCCCCAACCCCCCCCCCCCCCCAAAAAAAAAAAAAAAAAAAAAACAATTTCACCTTCCATTTGAATAATTTAGATTTAAATCTATTCACTAAAATATCCCACCTTGATTTCTTCACCATATTATCTCCTACCGGCAGACCCAAATACTTAAAAGGTACAAGGGCGCATCCTGTAATAATAGCTAACCTCAACACCTCATCTTCCGAAACCCTACCCTAAACATATACGACTTATGAATATTAAGCTTAAGCCAATAAGCCCTATAAAAATTTTCTAAAACAGACATTACCATCAATATTATCACGGTTCCAATCAGTCAAGAAAACCACATCATCTGTGCAAACAAGATGCAATAAAACCAAACCATCAGAACCAATCCGAACTCCATGAATAGACCTATTTTCCACGACTTCCTTAATGCATGTGTGCATACCCTCTATAGCACCCTGTTCTGAATTGTTTCCTAATTCGGGGTTGTGATCTGAAGATCGGGTATCATAAGGCTTAGGGCCTTTGGAAAAGGGAGATTTAGACCCATTTGGGTGTGGGTAAGGTAAGTTAGATGATCCAAGAGTCCGGTTTGTGATTTGGAGCCCAAGGGTATAACCGTAAAATGGCAGTTCGGGCTTTTATGAATATTGGATTTTAGTTCGGGAAGTTTTAAGGCAAGGATGAGTTGATAGAAGTGTAGAACTTCTCGTTACCTTTACGTGGATATAAGGAACGTCGAAATCGGATTTAGAATGAAGAAGTTATGGCATTTGGAAGTTGGTGGGTTTAAGGCTAAGCCTAGTACGCGGGGCGTACTTAGGGAGTACGCCGCACGTACTAGGGAGAAGGATTGCGGCACCTTTGGGAGTACGTTGAGCGTACTCAAGTTTTATGCAAGCCCTAATTTAGGCTCTCCTATTTAAGCTCTTTAACTCAACACCAAACCCTATTATCTTTAGCCTTCATCCCTTTAAACCCTAGATTCGAAACCCTAAGTGCATTTGGTGAGATTTGAGCCTAAAAGTGAGTTTGTTGGTGTTTTTTGGTGAAGAAGAAGAAGAGGAACACTTGGAGGCAAATCTTGAGCTTGTAAATCCAGGATTACCTTCTCATTTGCAAGCTTTTTGAGGTAAAAAGCTCTGACCTTGATGATATTTTGTGTTAGATTCGTTTTATGGAGTTTTGTATGCATTTTGAAGTCTTTTGAGTTAATTTTGAGCTTTTGATATACTCCAAAAGCTATGTGATATGTGTATTTTTATACATATTTTTTTATATATCGTATCTTAATATTTTAGCCTTTATTATTCTTATTTAGAACTAAAAGGTACTTATAATGATTTGAATTATAATTTACAGCTATTAGTTGTTGATAGAGCGGAAAAGAAAGGATTGGAATGGAATTCGGGCTTAGAAGCAAAAAGAAAGAAGATGGCTGAAGGCAGCCCACTACGCCCAGCGTAGTGGGACTTACGCCCAGCGTAATGACGAGGTGAAGACTACGCCCAACGTAGATACAAGTACGCCCAGCTTACTTGGCTTGGATCTGAAGGCTTGATCGCGATGAGTTTCTTAGTACGCCCCGCGTACACGAACTTATGCCCAGCGTACGTAAATCGGTTCCAAAGTTTATAAAAAGCGATTTCGGCCTGCCAGAAGAGAGAACTCGACTACCATTGATCCTTAGTCGACAAGTAACTTATATTTGGCCGTTTTGAGGGTCTAGAAGGCGGTCGGGAGGCCGTTAAGCTGGCGGAAGCAAAGATCGAAGGGATTAGAGAGCGGATTTGTGTCGGTAATCATGTGGTTGTTAACGTGACCATGTTTAGCATTCCATTGTGATGCCACTATGTGTTACTTTTTTATTTGGGTGTTAAAACCCTTTGCTTTGTGTTTATGACTAGATGAAACCTTGATTTATGGATTAATTGTTATGTGGATTGTTTAATTCGTGTTTAATTTATCTTGTTGAGCTTGTTAAAGACCCTTATGTGTTAATGATAATTATTTTCTGTTAATAATCAAGTTATTAAGTTGCATGAACATCATCTTAATTTCTTGAATCATATGGATTTGTGAAAACAATATTGTATGCTTAGAATTAGTGAATATGAACCTAGGATTAACTAATAAAATAAGTAAGTTAATGTGTGAGCATGTGTGATGAACAACCACATATAAGTTGATTGAATTGATAAATTTAATTAACTAAGATTACAAGTCTTGCTTGATACGAACTTAACACTAGGAAACTTGTTAGTTTAATCAATTGGCCACTGTTTGAATTGACTTGTTTGCTAAATGATTAGTAATAGTGAACATGAAACTAATCATTTTAGAAATCGGTGAACATGAATAAATAAATCTATGTGTGCAATTGTCTATGATTTCAAGATGTAATTGGTCTAAACCAAAGTACCTAAAGAGATTTGTCTTCGTTCAGGTTATCGATATTTGCTATTTATTTGTCTGTTTGAGATTTAATTTAATAAAACCTTTCTTTACTGCTTTTGTGTGTTTTGTGTAACCTATAATCAAAATTTTAAATTAATTCACTATCGTTCCCCTTGTGTTCGACACCCTTGCTTATCAAAGTTGTACTATACTCAATCGGGTTCACTGCCTGTAAGGTGTGGTTTAGATGCGATAAACTAGGAATTATAAATAAAAAAACTAATGCATTAAATATTCACATCCAGTTTTTGGCGCCGTTGCCGTGGAACGGTTTTCAATTAATTTAGTTTGTTTGATTATTCGTTATTTGTTTTTAATTTTTAGTTTTATTTTGTTTTTCGTTGATAACGTGTCACTTGTCCGAAAGTTGTGGCTGCTGTTTGCAGAATTTCAAATGTTTAGAAGTCCCCAATTGAATTAGTTGGAAAAAGAAAATTAAA